ATGAAAAGGAGGAAAAAACATGGTTTGGTTCATTCTAAACATATATAAAAATTTGGTGATATTTCAAAAATTCTTCAAGAAAGCATGAGAAAAATAGAGATTAGGAAATATAAAGGCAATACAATAGTAATAGAGAATAAAAGGTTGCTTGCATTAACATAAAAACAGGTTTTTAAACCAAGTGTAGCTGGGTGCAGTAGCTCGCATCTGTCATCCCACCACTTGAGTGGCTGAGGCAGGAAGATTGCTAAGAGTTTGAGGTCAGCCTGGGTCACAGAGTGAGACACTGTCTCAATAATAAACAAACAAAAAACGTGGTGGTACACTCCTGTAATCCTAGGTATGAGGGTCGGTCACAGGTTCAAGGCCAGACAGAGCTACAGTGAAGGACCCTTTAAAAAAACAGTAGTTTTTGCTATAAAAAAGTTTGTTCCAATTACGTGCTAAACTGTCAATGCTGCTCATAGATGGGTCTATCCCTCTCCGCTGCTGTTGCTCTGAACTTCAAGTTAGTGCGTTCTAACCCAAAGAACAAGGCGCTGAGAGTACTTGACAGTGTCACTATTCCCAGCCTTTTGCCCAGGATCAAGTGTGGAGTGAGTGCATGACAGGTCCTCTGTGAGGTCGCTCCTGAATCCTGTCTCCACCCCCTTCACACATCTCCCAGCCCCACCCTCATTCAAAAGATCCCTGAGGTGAGGGGTCCATAGAGTCTCCTAAGATGCAGTTCCAAACAGCTGATGTTGCCCTCGTAGTCCAGAGCAGTATCAGCTCATACATTCGTTGCCACTAATGGGTGGTTCAGGACCCACAGTTACCCACAAAGCAAAGCAGCACAGTGCAGAGCAGACCGAGCTTCAGTGTGCCTCTCCCAGGGGCAGTGAAATTGTGCAGAATTAGATCTGGAAAAGCCACACTGGAGTGCAAGCATGCCCCGGCAAGTATTTTAAATGGGAGGCTATATTTCATTTTAGTTTAACATACTTTGGTGGTAAAAGAGGATGACAATTGTGGGTTGTGGCTTACAGGTCTTTTTTGTTTAGGTTGGGGATCATTTTTATTGGGTATAGAGATTCCTGTCCGGAGAGCCAACTTCCCTATTCCCTTGGGCTGCTCCAAATGGTGAATGGAGCCTGGGGACCTTCAAAGTGGTGGGAGTGGCTGAACGCAGAGCAGGGGAGGCCCTAGGCTGGTGGGAGTGCTTGGCACCAACCTTGTTTGCACGTTCCTACACTGCTGCTCCGGAATCTTACTGTAGACTGGTTTACAGTGTGTTCAGACTGTTCAGCATAATTTATGCAAAGATGATTCTGTTTACCTTTGTATATCTTACAAAGAACAGCTAAGCTAGATGATTAAATGTTCTTGAATTGTGTTTGTATGTTGTTTTGATTATTTGATCACCCCCTATGCATCTGAATATCAGGATAGAAAAATAAAATGGTAACCTGGCCTTTGAAGAACTGTAGTGTGTAGTTCCATTTTGTAGTGTTGTGGGGGGTTTTGTTTTCTAGTTTTTCCTCCCGGGGCTGGGTGGTGAACCCAGGACCTGAGTGTGCTAGGCAGGCCTTAGCCTCTGAGCCATGTCCCCAGCTTCAGCTGCATTTTCATCATGCTACTCCAAGTTTCATTTTTGCTCGCTGGAAATTTCTTGGAGCTTGACAATGACAAAGACGGGGCTGGAGAGATGGCTCAGCAGTTAAGAGCACTGGCTGCTCTTGCAGAGGACCCAGGTTTGATTCCCAGAACCTACATGGCAGCTAACTCCAGTTCCAGAGGATCCGATGCCCTCTTCTGACTTCTGAGGGCATTGTATGACATGGATGCACTTAGGTACAGCAGGCTCATACACTCATACACATAAAATAAAAATAATAGGTAAAATATATATATTTTTTAAAAAAGTGGGGCGAGGAGGTACATGTCTTTAATCCCAGCACTCGGGAGGCAGAGGCAGGCAGATCTCTGTGAGTTCAAAGCCAGCCTGGTCTACATAGTGAGTTCCGGGCCAGCTGGGGCTACATGGAGGCCCGGTTAGAAAAAAGAAAAAAGAGCTGGGCATCGTGGCGCAGGCCTTTAATCCTAGCACTTGGGCGGTAGAGGCAGGCGGATCCTTGTGAATTCTTATTTTGATATATCACAGTGAAAGATTTATCGTCCTCTTTTTTTTTTTTTTTTTAAAAAAAAAAAAAAAAAAAAAAAAAAAAAAAAAAAAAGAAAAGAAAGAAACCGTATAATCTTCAACTAAACTGTGCTGGTAATGTCCAACTACCGCAAGTGTCACAGCTTCCAGAGAAGTGTAAAAAGTAGGAATAGGAAGCTCCTGGGGACAGGGTAAGTGGAGTCTTTGGGGTAGTGGCCATTGTCCTTTTCAGTGACATGTTAGCAGCAGTCTAGAAAATGGATTAAGACAATATGTCCTGGGCCAGCAGGACAGCTCAGTGGCAAAGGTGATGACCTGAGTTTGAGCCCCAGGATCTACATGGTGGAAGGAGAGAACCAACTACTGAAAGTTGTCCTCTGACCTCCACACGTATGCCATGGTGCATGTACACACAAATAAATAAATGTAATAAAGCAATAAAACTGAGGCTGGGCGTGGTGGCGCAAGACTTTAGTCCCAGCACTAGGGAGGCAGAGGCAGGTGGATCTCTGTGAGTTCAAGGCCAGCCTGGTCTACATAGTGAGTTCCAGGCCAGCTGGGGCAACAGGGAGACCCTGTCTCAAAAAGACAAAAAAAAAAAAAAAATCAAACCACAACAGCTGGGCATAATCCCAACACTCAGGAGGCAGAGGCGGGTTGATCACTGAGTTCATGGCCAGTCTGGTCTACATAGTGAGTTCCAGGCCAGCTGGGGCTACAGGGAGACCAACCCAAGGAAATGAGAACTAATAATTGGAAGTTAGGTACAAGAGACAGAGAAGGGTGTGAAAGTAAAGTGGGATTTCTGTGCTGTTTACCACTTTTCTTTTTTTGTTGTTTTGCTTTGCAGTACTAGGGACTGACGTAGGGCCTTGTGCATGCTAGGCAAGTACTCTACCACTGAGCTGCACCCCCAGTTTGTTTACTGCGTGCGTGTGTGTGTGTGTGTGTGTGTGTGTGTGTGTGTACAGTTGCAGGTGGAGGTCAGGACGATCTTGGGTGCTGGTCTTCACCTTCCACTTTCTTTGAGACTGGCTCTCCTGTTCACTGATCCGCTGTTGCTATTACATACTCCAGGCTAGCTGGCCCTTGAACTTCTGGGGACTCTCCTGTCTCTGCCTATCTTCTCCCCATAGGAGTGTGGGAATTGTAAAAGTGCACTACCGTCTGGTTTTATGTGGGTTCCGGATTCTACCTTGGCAAGGGCTTTATCCACTGAGCAATCTCCCAGTGGCATTATAGTCCTGTTTCACCTGGCATTGGCAACATCTCAGAGACCTGAAAGGGCTTCAACATCACCATTCTCAGGGTCTCACTAGACCTTGAGGTTTTTGTTTGTTTGTTAAGGCAAGATCTCACTCTGTTGCACAGGCAGATATCAAACTCCTGGTCTCAAGTCATCTTTCCACTTGAGCCTCCGGAGTAGCTGGGTCTTTGGGTGTGGATCACTGCACCTCATTAGCCCTTAGATTTGGGGTGTTTTCTAGTCCTACCTCCTGATTAGGAAGCCACACCAGGTTGATTGCAGTCTGGAGAAAAGCAAGTGGACTCCCTCTGGTTTAGAGCCTTCAGTATTGAGGAGCGGCCAGGAACCCTGG